GCCACTGTGTTCACAGCATTATCTGTGACCAGTGTCTGGCACAGAGCAGGGCTCAATGAGCCTTCAAAAAATGGATGAATAGCTCAGCAAATGGGCCTCCCGGTTGCCAACATCACCTTTACATTTGACACACAACAGTTCCAGAATTTCCCCAGGGAGGCAGAAATAGGGTGTGACAGGAAGAATAAGGTCAGGAAGTCTGGGAATCCAGGGGAAATGTCAAGGACCAGTTAGCATCTGTACCAGGCCTTCCTGGGCCACTTTATCATCTCAAGTGTGGACGTGTGCACACACACAAGGCACAGCAGGCAGGTCCTACTGATCTTGAACACCTTTCAGTGTGTCTTAAAAGGCTTGAGTTTTGTCCTGGTTCTTCCTTTAGCAGCCCTGTGTCCTTGGACAAATCACACAACTCCTATGGGTCTCAGTTTCCGCAAAAGAAAAAAGTGAAGAGTCTGGCTCGATCATCGGTCCTCAAATATGGCTTGGCCCAGAATCACCAGAAGTACATGTGAACATCTCGCCTCCCAGACCCCACCCCTGTAGATTCTGAGTCCATCTGGAATGGGGCTGAGGCTTCACGTTCAGCACACTCCCAGGTGATACTGAAGCACGTGGCCCAGGAACTGGCCCTGAAGGACCAGGGTAGAACAGTGCTTTGCAGTCAACATCTGGACTTCTATTAAAAAGTCACTCCCTCCCAGATATACATCCCCCCAAAACATATGCCCCACACAGAGCCCTACAGTGCAAAGGTGCACACTGTCCAGATGCCCCACATCTGTACCACACATGTGCACACTCCCAAACATCCAACAGAGCGCCACACGGGTCCCTCACCACCGGGAACCACATCTGCATGCACAGCTGGCACACACAGGCACCTACCACACATCCAGTGTGTACACACACCCATCGCATGTTGACCCACACTAAACAGACACCATTCTGAATTTATTTTGCCTCTGGGAACTGGTCCAGTACCAGAGGAGCTCTGATCTGCCCGAAGAAAACATCCCTCCCACCTCTGCCACCCCCACCCCTTGCCCCAAGCAGCATGCTGCTACCTCCCCCTGATGAGGAGGGCTGCTGGAGGGGGCCAGTGAAGAGCCAGGATGAAGGCACAGAGCAGTTCCTTCTTTCCCACTCTCTCCCAGGAGAGGCCAGTGGGCCCCCACCAAGCCCTCCATCAGCGCTCCTCAGCGTCCTTGTCTGGATTCCCAGGTCCGGGCCTAGGCAGCCAAGAGGGTTAGGGAGGTAGCTAGATCTAGGAACTCCTCCTGCTACTCAGGCCTCTAAGGAAAGGGCTGTCTGGGGGCACCTTCCTGCAGCCTAAAGGCCTGGGCCCCCTCCGGGAAGGTTACCACAGAAACAAGGGGAAATATTACAGGGAAACACAATACCCGGCAGGGTCACCTGCTGACCAGGCTTCCTGCTGTGTTGCCCACCACTGCAGGGGGGGGGGGAAGGGGCACCCCTGCCGCCACCCCCACCTCCACCCCCATCTCACTGCTCTCACTGCTTCCTTCTCTGACCTCAGATTGGGGCTCTCCTTACTGCCTTCCCTGGGTTAGGAGAAGCAGCTTCAGGCAGAAACTTTGCCCCTCTGTGGTCCAAACAACATCAGGGATGGCTCCAAACTGAGCCCCCACACCTAATCCTACCAATGCCCCCACTACAGGAAATCAAAGCTTCCTGCCCCAGAGGAAGTGCCCCATCTAGTGAACAAATCCAAAACACACAAATGTACAGCCCCGGAGCCTGAGGTAGACAGACTCCCCCCACCACCCCTTGAACCCCCTCCACCTCAGCGTAGCTCCCAGGCCTTACTCTGGGCCTGCTTTCAGCTATAGCCCAGACCCCCTGTAGGCCCATCGCATGTCTGGCTGTGGACAGGGCAGGACCAAGGTGCAAGGGGTAGGTGACACAGGATCTGAGCCAGTCCAGGGAGGAAGAGGCCAGGAGAATGGGCAGAGTCAGGTCTGTTTCCAGTCCTATTAGACCTGCCATTCCCTCACTGCTGACTCGGCCTTGCATTATTTCATTTTTTCTCAGACTCCTGCCAACTTCAAAATTACCAGCCCTGAATGAAAGACCAAGAGAAAGAAGGCAAGTAAGAGGTGGGGGGATTCCAGAGGCATCAGCTTTCCTGACCATTCGACAAGCACGCTTAGAGCTACAGAGGATCCCAGGCCCTACGCCCATCACACAAGAGTTTCTCACAACACAAGGGTTCTGTATCAGGGTTGAAGAATGGATGGAAGACGAGAAGATTCCTGCCCAGAAACCACCAAGGACAAAAACTAAGGTCTACTATCTTTGAAGGGCATGAGGTGGGCAAGGGTACACAGTAGACCTCACACTGGGCACCAATTCACTTAACGTTTTCTCCCCATTTTATTGGTGGGAAAATGAGACTCAATGCCAGAGACCTTAGAATGCAACCTTCCCAGCCTCAAGATCCCAGCTTAAGAGCTGATGCCAGGAAGACCTCCACCCCTGGGCTCAAGCTGAGGGGGAACCAGGGGCCTCAGGAGAACATGGGCCTGCGGCCATCCAGAAGTAACCCCTAAAGGCAGCTCTGAGCCTGACTCTGAACCTGCCCAGGGGAACAACGAGGAATGCTGAGGACTAAAGGCTAGGGAGGTGTTCCAATGGGTCCAGGACGTCTTGATATACTGGGCACAAGGCAGGACTGCTTTGTGCCTCAGTTTCCCTCAGAAGTAACTGCAGAGAAGAGAAAAACTACTTATTTATTGGGGTCAGTAAAGGAAACGGTATAGAATAAGGAGAATAAAATGCTAAGCAGGGCCCTCCCAGGTGGCGCAGCGGGTTAAAGCACAGCACTAAGAAGCTAAAGCCACTTCAACATGAGTTCGATCCCCTCCCCGGAGGTGACCACATGGTACAGCAGGCCTCTCCTGGCCTGTCCACTGCTCTCCTCAGTAGTGTATTTCGTTGATCTGCCTGTTCTGCTCCCCAGTCTATCTCAGGTGAAGCCTCTCACCATCACAGCAACTCTGGCCTGTACCCCAGTTCTGTATGCATAAATAAATTTTTAAAAACAAATGCTAAGCAATGAGGGTCTAAAAGATAACTTACAGATGCTGGAGAGTTTTTGGGAGAAGTGGTATGACAGCTTGAGACACTTCAGGGACCTACTGCCTATGGGGTCCTGCTGGGGAGAAAGAGGCTACCAAAACGTCCCATTAGGGGGCAGGGAACAGAGTCAGTCTCCTCTCTTGCAGAAACTGCTGACCAGGCAACTTGAGGAAGGTTCCCATGAGCCCAGCTGCAAGACCCAGGAAGAGACTCCTGCATCCAGATGTTAAGTCTAGCAGAGCCACTGAGGCTGGTGCCCCATTCTCACCCTCGAATCTGGCAGACAGAACTGGACCTCAAGCAGATGTTGAATAGGGTGGTGGGGTGGAGCATCTGCAACACAGTCGGTGTCCAGATACAAAGGAGGGATTGCAGGCACGCGGGGCAGCCAGTGGGGAGGAGGGAAAGAACTGGACTTGGTGGGAAGAGCAGCAGTGGCTGAGGAGGTCACCTTTGGATGGGCAGCCCCAGGGAATAAAATGGGGGTGCAGATATGGGTGGCCATCGGGGAGATGGTAAGGCTCTCTTCCAACCCGCAAGCCCAGAAACTGGGCATTAGAGCCCAGTAAAGATTTGCTGCCTGGCTGCTCTCGCACACTCCCCAGCATAAAGAGACCCCAGTTTTGGAAGGCGCACATCCTGCCCCCCACCACCCAATACTCTGCCTACACCCCCCCATTCTTCCGGCACCCCTGCTGGCACCTCTGCTGGCACCTCGGAAGTTCACTTGGGCACAGTTATCTCTTCACCTGATGGGTGATGAAGGGTGGGGGGCGGTGCTCAGAGACACCTCACGGTCCAGAATCCTACCTCCAGGGCACCATTTTTCCCAGCGGCAGGGTCAGAGTACAGCCCAGCGGGGAAACCTACGGGATGGGGGCGTTGATGTCTAATGCCTTGAGCCCGACCCAAATCAGTGGGTCCTGCCCTTTGCCCTGGCGCTTCCAAACCTTCCGCCTGGAGCACCGCCCCCTCCTGGGGCCGCGGCGGCCATCCCTCTCCCTCCCCGGTCGCGGGTCTCCTCCCGAGCTATTGGGGCGATGGGACCCGCCGTACACCAGCGGGCCGGGGCCTCCGACTCCCTCCCTCGGGCCTGTCGCTGGCCCGGGGCGGGCGGATGTGGGGGCCCAGAGAGAGGCCCCAGCCCTCCGGCCCCGAGACTGGCCCCGGCCCGG